CATCCATTCTCTCCTTCCTTTGCTGAGATATCTTCTCTCAGTAACATCAACTCACTGCACCCCCCCACCCCCTTTTCCTTTGCTTTTGCCACTTTGACCTCATAAAGGTTGTTCTTCGACGAGCACAGTGCTCAAGGCAGGTCTGTTTTACTAGCTAAGGTAAACTATCAGGAGTCCTGGGCGTTACAAGTTAGACTGCTAACTTCAAGGTCAGCAATTCAAACTAACCAGCCACTCCTAAAGAGAAAGAGGAGGCTTTCTGCTGCAACAAACATTTACAGCCTCCGAACTTCTGGGGCTATTTCTGATGGAAAGTTTATGAAGATTATCTTAGTGTGGGAGTTTCAGGGACTCTTTCTTCCTCCATGGCTCCATAAAGTCTAGAGTCTATGGGAATTTGAATTTCTGTTCTGAATTTCTGCACACTTGATCAGGGTTTGGCTATATAACCTGGGATCAAAATGGTAGCAGGGCACCATCCAGGTCAGATCTCATGGCACAGGGAGCAGGCTTTCACAGCTATACATTACAGAACCTCCTCTGAGTCTAGACTTTCCTTCTTCCTCTCGTTCCAGGTGAGTAGAGAGACCAACTGTGTCTTGGATGGCTGCAAGAAACCTTTTAAGCCCCAGACAGTACTAAATGAGAGAGAGAGAGAGAGAGAGATCGATCCCCAGAACCAAGCCCCATCCGGTTTTGGTTGTGCACAAGCAGTCTCAGCAGCTGGTCTTCTGTTGCTGTGTGTACATATATATCTCTACCATCAAACTCGTGCCAATTCAACTGTTTACAGGTGGAGAACTTGGCACCAATCACAATCACCAGCTGCGGTTGCTTACCACACCTGTGTCTATCAACTTAGCTTCCTCTCTCCTCCTTCCTGGCCTTCATAACCAAGAATAAACTGCTCCAACCATGTCCGTCCTTTTACGATGGACTCATTTTGCTCAACACAATGTCTTGGAACGGCAGCCACACTGTGACATAAATCAAGACTGCACTCCTTCTACAGAGTAGTACTCCGTTTACTCCATGAGGCTGTCCATCCATCTATCTTCTGTCTATTGTGAATAGTGCTGCGATGAACACCAGGGTACACATATCCCTTCGGGTCTCTGCTTTCCAGTGTTGGGGTATATACCTAGGAATAGAATTCCAGGTTCATATGGTAGTTCCATTTTCAATTTTGTGAAATCTCTAAAATTTCGAGTGGCTGTCCCATGTTACATTCCCACCAATGGACAAGGGTCCTAATTTCCCCACATCCCAATCAACATTTGTTTGGTTTAATCTTAGCCAGTCTAGTGGGAATTAAACAGTATCTTACTGCAGTTTTGATTTGCTTAAGATCTGCTGTATTTGAAAGTCTGTATTAGGAGAGTTGGTCATGGGTTATGCTTTTCAATATGGCCACAATCCTTTAAGAATCTGTAATAATGGATAAACAAACTGGAGGAGAAACCAACTGGACCGATGGTTGGGGGTGGGGGGGTGGGGAAGGGGGGATTGGGAGAGGAGGAGGCAGGGAAAGGAAGTGGGTGATCCAAAATCGGTGGTGAGGAGGGTGTAAAAGGCCTGGTAGGGCTCGATCACGGGCAATGTAACTGAGAGGAATTACTGAAACTCAAATGAAGGCTGAAGATGATAATGAGACAAGAGCAAAGTAAAAGGAAATAGAGGAAAGAACTAGAAAGCAAAGAGCATTTACAGAGGTCTAAATACAGGCGTGTGCATATGTAAATATATGACAATGGGGAAATAGATCTATGTGCATATATTTATAGATTAGTATTAAGGTAGCAGATGGACATCAGGCCTCCACTCAAGTATTCTCTCAATGCAAGAATACTTTGTTCTATTAAACTGGCATTCCACGATGCTCACCTTCCCAACACGATCACTGAAGACAAAGTGGGTGCATAAGCAAATGTGGTGAAGATAGCTGATGGTGCCCGGCTATCAAAAGATATAGTGCCTGGGGTCTTAAAGACTTGAGATAAACAAGCGGCCATCTAGCGGAGAAGCAACAAAGCCCACTGGAAGAAGCACACCAGATGGTGTGATTACAAGGTATCAGTGGGATCAGGGATCAGGCATCAAAGAACAAAAAGTCATATCATTGTGAATGAGGGGGAGTGTGAAGTGGAAACCCAAAGCTCATCTGTAGGCAACTGGACATCTCCTTACAGAAGGGTCATAGGGAGAAGACAAGCGAGTCAGGGTGCAGTGTAGCAACGATAAAACATGCAACTTT